TTGACTACATAAGGAGGAGGTGAAGCTGGGAGGATGTTCACATTCAAACTGGTGTAATGTTCTGTGGCTCAATGAGGTGATAAAACAAACACTTCAGAAACGCGTTTCTGAAATTTAATGCAATGCTTTTTATTAACTTTTAGACTTCAGCAAAGAAACGGACATGCGCACTAGGACAAACGAATGGGCGACATGTTTAAATCAATAACCAGGTAAATGTGGAGGTTGTTGCAGTAATCACACCAAATCACAACGAAAACCATCCCAGGGCACTTTACATAGACAACACAGTCTGTCAGGCAGGAGCGTTTCCTGTGCACGGCAGATGTGTGGAGGTACTAGGGCTTGTTCCCCGAGGAGCCGGGGCCCCGTCTTCATCTTAGCACCATCGATGAGAGAGCAGGGAGCAGCCAGAGTAATGTAGGCAACGAAATGTGGGGAAAGACTGGGTCTGGTACGGACCACAAAACAACTGATGTTATACTTCAAAACAATTAAGGGTATTACATAATAAGAATGACTTTTACACAATTTGGGGCCTTAAAGCTTCAAATAATAATAATAATAACCAGCCTAAAACTGTCTGGGGACCTGTGGATGCTGCACCCTGCAGTCTGCTCAGCCTACCAGCAGCTGAGAGTGGTATTTAAGGTGTGACTGGTGTGTTGGCCTCTGGCGGTGTGGGACCTTCATGACAAAGCCATTCAGATTCATATGCAAACATATTTCTCTCTGCTCCATTTCTGTTTTAACAAGCATCAGAACAAGTCCTGACTCCATCGGACGTATTGATTATCCACATCACAGCTGTTCAGCTTGTCCAATTAATAAACTCATTTACTCAGGAGGTCGATGGACTCGATCGGTCTTGGTTTCCTCACCAATCACTAAGTCGGCTGCTGGTGGGAGCTCACACAGTCTTTAGTTCTGCTTTTTAAACATCTTGGAAATGTCACAACCACTAGGAAGTTTTGTTTTCTGATCACTCTTTGTGATAACAGGTAACCTGGGACAAAGACCTCAGCCCATTTGTCCCACATAAATCGGGACAAATGCTAAAGTCTTGTGGATCATAATGCAAACATTTTACCTGGGTTTTATACATTTTAAAACCCCTTTTCTGTACTTTTGTGTGTTTCTCTCCTGCCATGAGCCAGAGGCCGCGTCCTGACTGTCTCTAGCATGAGACATTCCTCCTATTAGGAGGAAAGCTGCTTGTCTCTAGCTTCTGAATGTGTGCTCCTCTAGCTAATCCTACACATTTATGTCCTGGTTTGTCATTAGTTTGCATTCAGCATCACAAAGTCAATGTGGCTTGTGTTTGTAGTTCCTCACCTGTTTGGTCATGGAGTCGATCAGCCGAACATAAAGGTCCTGTTCTGTCCTGATGCCTGGAAACACAAGAAGCAGAGAACAACTCCCATAAGTCAGCTGGAACACACCGTTATGAGTGTGAGCAGAGCCGCTGCCTGACAGCAATGCATGCTAATTTGATGCACAAGAAAAGGAACCCCCCCCCCAACAAAAGATTCCTAATAATGTGCTGTAAATGAATTCTGTTGTTATTTATGTCCCGGTAGTGTATTTATGTTTTCTGTAGCTCTTGTCATCTCATCCCCGCCGGGCTTCTTCCTCAAGGATAACAAGGAATCCTCATTCTCCGACAAATTAAATATCAATCAGGATTGCTTGTCTTTTATTAGCTATGCATCCGGGCGTAAATGTGACACAAACACGACATGGGGTGGAGGAAGCAAATTGCGGGGAACACCTGTTAGCGGCGGAGCAGCTCTAATTGTATTCAGTGCTGTGGGTTTGGGCTTCTGTGTGGTTTGTTCGTCTTGTTTTTCAGGCTGTTTCCTCGCAGCTTCCTCTCCTTTCTAATTGACATGATTCACTCCTCACTCTGCGGCTGAGTGCTGAGCAGTCTGCAGACTAAATGGCGGCTATCTGTCCTGGTTGCAGATGAGGTCAATTACCTCTGTACGATGCTCATCCGACGATGCCGACTCATATTAGAGTGATTTATCCTCCTTTGGAAGAAAACGCTCTTTTATGTCCCACTTTATCTGGAGATTCTGCAGGGGTCTGAGAGCAGCACAGCCGTCCTCCTCCTGCAGGTCTGGACCCGTGCCAGCACAAAGCCGAGCTGTGTGTTTTGAATCAGCCAAAGATCCTCCATTTTCCCCCCAGTGGACAGAACAGAGTTCAGGTTTGGTTAGCTGTCAGATATTCCAGATGTCTGCAGTGCAGCTCAGCCTCTCCCTGCGTGCGCTGTGAATGGAAAACTTTTTTCTAGCCTCACGGTCTTAAACAGTCCAGTGAGGTGACCTTTAATATAAATTCTACAAACTGTAATTCATCCACAGAAAGTTCAGCCGCAAACCGACGCAGGCAGTTTCACCCGTGGGAAAGAAACCATCATTACCTCAACTTCATCAATCAATACTGCAAATCTAGTCTGAACAAAGACTCACCTGACCTACAGAAGTGCCATTTAAAAAAAACACACACCGTTTAGGTCTAATTTCATGCTGTCAGTCATTCTCTAAAGGTGCTTTTCTAGGTGGGCAGTGGATCCTAAAGATGTAGATATATCTTCTGCTAAATTCTAATTATGTTCTGGAGGATGCATAATTGCTGCCTCCATCCTGTTGACAGTTGTTTCAGTCCAGGAAGTTGAAGTCATTTAACCCTTTATCCTGCAGGAAAACCACTAACCTGGGGGAGCACAGTTCTGTGTGGCTGGGGTCATTAGTCTCCAATGTTGACCCTCATGCACATAGGAAACCATGGGTGTTCCTTCTTCGTGTTCACTGAGCGACCGCTACACTACTGCCTGCACCCTGGAGAAGCTGCTCCTTGCATACACGGACTCCCCAAGACGCCCAAAGAAGGAGCCCCACTCAGACCCATCAGCAGCATCGCCAAATGCCTAGCCGCCATACTAGCCCCTCTGGTCAACAACACATCCCGCTACTCGACAGGACAAACCTCAGTTCAGACCAAAAACTGTGTTCTACTTGACGACTACCTGATTCAAATACGAGGGCTTTTACAGAGAGGAGCATGGCTGTGCCAACGTCCCCCCTGCACATGTAAGAAGTAGAGAGCAGGGCCTTGCGCTCCTTTACAGGAACCACACCCTGCCACTGGTTCAGGCACATGGAGGACACCTGGGTCCAAATAAAACTAAGGAGGTGGAAGTCTTCACAGAACACATCGGTGCAGCTGACAGCAACGTCAGGTTCACACAGGAGGATGTCAGAGGAACAAGTCTGGCCCTCCTGGACTGTGCCATACACTGGGAAGAGGACAGAGGCCTGAACATTGAAGTGCACAGGAAACCCACACGCAGTCCAGTATTTACTCTTTGACTTTCACCACCCAGTGAAGCACAAACTGGGAGTGATCAGGGCCCTTCAGCACCAGACTGAAAGTTCATGTTCGAGAAAGACGGTGGCTCTGGTTTAGTGTCTGATCTGTTTGTGTACGACACCAGAGCAGCATGAGCCCGGAGCTGTGAGCCAGAAACTGGTTCCCACAGCTGGAGTCACTGCAGGTGGAGGCTGGACTGGGAGAGCAGAGATCGTCTGGGAGCATTTTACTGATACGTTCAGGGCCAGTGTGTATGTCACTTGTCAAACATAAATTAACAACATTTCCATTTAAAACACTTTCTACGGTTTCTTTCTTTTGCATTGAAAACAATTTGTAGGAAAGAGCGTTAAAAGATTGGTTTGGGATTTTTCAAGTTGGTCCATAAGTAGGTGAGACTTCTTCCTCCACAGCGACCCTGAAGCTTTCCACCATGGTACACAACTATGGTGGAAGAAATGTGGGACAAACTACACTTTGAGTTGGTGTCTTTCAAAGTTTCAGTCTATTAAAGACAAATTTCCCTCTGGTGTTTCCAAGGATAGCAGTGGACAGACTAGAACGTTCTGTATCCTTCCTCTGCAGCTGTTTTCTGGGGGATGCAGAGTCCAATTTGTCTTAGACCAACCCGAAAGATACCGCCTTAAATTAGCTTAGCATCTGAGCCTCAGACCACGTATTTCTGCACAGAATGACGGCTGTGGATTTGCTCCTCATTTTTTACTGTGCAGACCAGGAACAAGGACTGAAAGCCTTTCTCACGTACACATCACGTCAACCTTAAAAATCCTTTAAACACAGGTAGGTGATCAAAGCCAGGAGAGAACAGCAGAACCAGCCTCAGTACAGTCCAGTTCACTGCATTCACCCCCATAAAATGAAATGTCCAGCGTTTCCCAAACAGAAACAGGCTAATAATGCTTTTCTTGATAAGGTATGAGATTTTATAGACCAGGGGTGTCACACTCAATGGCACAGGGGGCCAAAACCCAAAGCACACTTTAGGTCGGGGCCGAACAGGATAAACATTTATTGAACAGACTAAAACTAAACGTTTTTTGAACATGAATATGAATCGAAACAGACAGGATACAATATTATTCCAAAATAAATAAACTTGAACTTAAAATCGCCAACCGTATTTCTGCTAAGCCTTACATTAGCAAACACCTGCTTTTTGTCTGGACACCAGACGTCTCACACTTTCATCATGCAGCTCTTCAGAAACTCTCCCTCGGTAAATGTCTGGGCTGATTTTCTCCTCTGCCGTAATAAAACTTCTTTCACAGCAGCTTCACTGTGTGATTTAGCTTTGGTGAAAACGTCTGCTGTGATGTCAGATTCCTCTTCAACTCCTCTACCTTCTGTAGCTTCTGCTCTGCATCACGTTTTTCAGCTTGTCCTGATGTTTTGTCTCGTAGTGTCGTCTTAGGTTATATTCCTTAATTACAGCCACATTAGCTCCACAAATAAGACACACGGGTTTACCGACAATGTCAGTAAACATATATTCAGCCTCACACTGGTTTAGAAAGGCTCTGTTTTCAGAACCAACTTTTCTCTTGGCCATTGTTAGGGGCTAGCTTTGACTTGAAATTAGGGTTGTATACATCAACAGACGCTTGATTGATCTGACGTAATTCACGCGGGAATGATCAGCCAATCGTTCGGTAAGGCGGCTGTTGCGCTGCATTATGGGATTTGTAGTTTGTGTGTTATCAGCACTTCATGTCGCCGGGCCGTTAAAAAAATATATAAGATATATAAAATGATCCCGCGGGCCTTGAGTTTGACACATGTATTATAGCGAACACTCTCCAAACTAAACAACGTGTCGCTTTTCGTCATCTTACAAACACGTCACAGACGTTAGTGCTGGGACTGTTTCCTGGTCTGGTCTCCAGTACGTCTGTCTGTCTGTCCAGCACTGTCCACGTCTTACTAAGGTTACACTTCTACTGCACAGACTCTGACACCAGACATTTGTCCAGCTTTGCTTCTGGTCTCACCATTGCTGTAGAGGAGCTGGAGCCTGTAGTGGATCCCGTTGTTGGTCTTCTCTCCGTTGTACTCCTGTCACACACAAATACACAAATCACACTTCACTCAACATGCTGCTGTGATGTGACTAAACATCAGCTACAGTCCTCTCAGGCCGACACACACCATGTTCCCTTCAAAGGCAGACCCCTGTGTCAAACTGTGTTCAGGTCACTTCAGCCTTGGCAGTGTGGAGGCCAACCAAAGAGGGTGTGCACGGAGAGCAGAGCTCGGAGGACAGCAATCATAAACAGTCAAAAGGCAAACAAAGAAAAAGAGTTCGTGACCTTCCTGAAATAAATTATTTCTGATTTCACTCAGTTTATACTTGATACAAAACTTCTGATTGCTACATAAACAACTTCAGTTTCTATTCATGATTGTTTTTGTCTCAGTTGATTAATATTTGAAATAAAAGTCTCAGATTTTCTATTTCTAACCTCACACTGAGTGGAACGCTGAGTTGCTATTTGATGACTTAATACTTTGAGCTTTTGACAGTTTGACTAAATATCTTAACTGTCATTTTTATTTGGCATGAGTATTTTTCCTGAGGAGGAAACCTGCCCCCAGCGCAGCGGTGTGGCTCACTGGGGGGTGTTTAACAACAGTGGACAACGGTGGAGGTCTACAGAGCGATGAGCTGGACCAGGTTCTGGACTCACATCATGGCGAGGACACCATGTTCACTGGTGCTGGTTGGGGTTTGTGCACAGTAATACAAACCAACTAAATCACTGACTGCATCCTTTAAAAGCCCTTCATTCTCTCTGTGGTACACACTCTGCCATCACCTCTATCTTTACTTTTCATTTTCTGTTGTCCTCTTGACTCTTCCTCACCCTTTACTGCCCTCCCTTTCTTCTTTTTGCTTTTCAACCTTTATTCCCCTTTTATTTCACTCCTCTCTCATTTCAGCCTCTGTCGGTCGGCCGCTCTGTGCCAACTGTGCCTGGGAGTGTTGGCTCAGTCCCAGAGTGTGTGTTATCGGGTGAGAGACTAGAGGTCAAAGCAGAGGTGAGGTGAGAGAGTGAGTGGGTGGAGTGGAGGGGAGGATTTAGTGCCAGCTGGCAAACGATCAAAGAACAAACACCCCCAAACCTGTCTGCATATTTGCCTTATTATCATTAGTATTATTAGTAGCAGAAGTGTTTTAGACTGTGGCTGATGCTGTTTACTGTCTATGGTAATCAGCTCCAAACCCACTGGTTCCTCCTGAAGATGTTCATGTGTAGAAACACCTCACAAATATACCATTTCACTTTAAAAACACTCCGGTGTTTCCTAATGCAGCTGCCCATTGGAAATCTTGACCAAAAAAAACAAACAGGAGGAAACTGCGTTTCTTAGGGACTATTTTCAGTGGTGGATGAATCCACTGTCAACAGGTTTACTGTGGCTTTTCACAGTGGGATCTAAAGAACATGCTCACCTTGTCTTTCTCCACGAAGTCTACGTAGGAAGTCCTCTCGATCTCAACCGGCTGGCCCTGTCGGTCGTACAGCGCCAGCACAAAGTGGAAGAAGTTGGACTTCCTCAGGTTGGACGGAGGCTGCTTCTCAAAGTGAGCTCGGGCCAAACCCACCCCACTGAAACACAGACAGAGGATTTCTTTTTATTAACTCGTGGCCATTAACTGTTTGTTTCTGAACTCTTTCTTTACATTGTTTTTATGTGTGTGCATGTTAACACAAACTGTTCAAATAGACATGATCAATAGATCAAGTTGTCTTTATTCAGCACCTTAAACTAAGGCAATGAAATCACCATGAACCACAACACTACAGAAATGAAAATTCTATGAGGCACCATGTAAAAGCCAGGATGAGCTGATCTGCTCAGTACTGATACTGTACTAAAATACACATTCAAGGTACTCGTGTTTTACTCGCATCACTTCTTTTCATGTGACTTTGCTCATCTTCACTACAGTTCAGAGCCTGTATTTTTTTACTGCGTTTATCTGAGCTGCGGTTACTTTACAAATTCAAACATTTTGCACAAAGTGCGTCTAAAATACGGTGCTTTGTTATAAATTACCCAAAAGCAAATACAAGGAGAGCTGCAGCAATAAGCTGAGTGATGGAAAGTTCATTAGTAAATATGTTTTAATAATTGTCTAAATCACTTTCATTCAAAACCATCAAACATTTCATGGCTCCTGTTGCTCAGACATGAAGTTTTGCAGCTTTTCTTTCATACTATTTTAATAACTTGAGGTCTGCAGTGTTGGCTGGACCCAGCAGTTACAAACGTGTTGGCTCCGGGGAAATGACAACATTTCTGATTTTTTACAGACACACCATTGGAAATTAATCATTAGTTTTACAAAACATTTAGAATGAGCTCCCCCTCAGCCGACTGCAGCAGAACAATGCTGTGTACACTTTAATGCATAAGTAATAATCTGATTACAGAGAACAACACGGCACCATTTTCTGCACTTGTACTTTTGATATTTTAAGTTAGAGTCCAGTCAGAAGTTCTTTGAGAAGATTCTCCGAGCCAGAACATGAGACGCGACTGAAAGCCTCCAGAACAAAGCCAGTAAAGGCCCTTGATTGAACATGATTCTGCAGTAATCGTGGATTCTCCCTCTGGGTGTTAAACCGACAGTACGACAGGAAACACTGACCTGTCAATCAAACACGCACATGACCTGCTGGTTACTGAGATTCACTCTAGAAATCACGCGATGACTGAGACTGTGAAACCATTTAAAGAAAATCTGCACTAAACATAACGCTGACGTCACAGACGGCACACGTGATCAAACTGGTTTATCAGTGAGATGTTTACATGTGAATTGAAATAAAATGCAGCAGGACAGTGACGGCGGCTGAGTGGAAGCTGCTCATGTGAAAACAGGGAGGTAACTGAGTGTGTGTCCTCTCCTCTGTACAGTTCGCCTGACCTTTTAAATAAAAGCCTGAAAACTATGCAGACAGAGGCCAAAACCCAAGAGACATGAGGCTCTTCCTCCAGCCTGAGAGTCAGAGAGGATGGAGGAGGAGGTCATTATCCCTGTCCATATATTATATAAGAAGGTCAGGGTGGGCCAATGTTTCCCTCATAGAGCCTGAAGTATCTACTGATTGGAGGCCAGAGGTCATTTTGCCTTTTTTAAATGCTGTACTATTGTCTCAGACACGAGCCTCAGCATGACAACAGGTCCCAGTACGTCCAAAAAAATAACCTTGTGGGGTTCCACAGGGCTCCATGATCGGCCCATTATTATATGTACATTACACATCATCATCCACATGTCAGGTAAAGCCATTAGCAACGTTTCGGTTCTCAGACCTTCACTGAGTATTATTCATTTATCCACTTGATGGTACAATTGGTTTTAGATCAAATTAAAGTTCAATCTAATGTTTAAAATGCAAGATGAGAAATTCCTATAATGGGATGTGAATTTTTAACTATAATGTTGATTATTTACACTATGATAAGCAGGAGGTCAGAGGTCTTTTTACTGTTGATCTGATGCCATCTTATTGTCTCAAACGGTTCAGCGTCACATTTGCTAGTAAAGAAAGGCTTTAAGTCCGTATGCAAGTGGAAACACATCACTGAGATGATTTCAGCTGTGGATTTTAGTAAAAGTGGATAAAAATCCTTGTTGATCCTGTAATAAAATCGATGTTGTTGCAGGAAGTGATCTCCGCCCTCAGCGAGTGTCCAAGGGGTAAAGTCTCAAAACAACAGCCGAATATTTTTACATCAATCTCATTTCCCTGCTCGCCGAGTTTCCTAAAACGCTTTATGATCAATATGATCGCTGAAGCATAGATAAACATTTATTCATTCTCAGGGTTTGTTTTTGGAACCTTGCCTGCTCTCTCTCGGCCTCTGTGTTTGCCGGCTCAGGGGTGTATTCCCCAGACAGCAGATTAATACAGACGTGACCTTTCTGCGCCCCCATTACCAATGCTTAATGCCTCATTTGTAGGCCAGTTTGTTGAAAGATAATTCTTCCGACTAGCAGCATTTGGCCAGGTGGATGGGGGAGTCGAAAGTCTGTAGGAAGAGGACAACAGCTCAGGTGTGTGACTGTCAGGTTAGAGTCTGTTTTAATGCAGGCTCAGTGGGAATAAATGCAGCGGAGTGTCAGAAAACACAAGAGTGTAAAAGCAGAAATAACACACAGAGAAATCACAGCGCAGCAGACTTCAACACTCTCACTATCAGAGATTTTCACCGAGTTCCTGTGTGAAAAAAAACCATCTACAAGCATCTGTTTTTTATGTGTTGCTATTTCCTTTCACCTGAGGTGGAGGAAACATCCTTCCAGTCAAAACAAAAGAAGCCATGTGAATGCATCAGCCTCAGTCTATGAGACATCTCAACAGACTTCTGTCACTATTTTTTGACATTTTATAGATTAGTAATGCTCTTACAGACGCTCGATAATGAACCTAACTCTGGCTGCAGCCTTAATATATTTCATATATTTAATATTTAAGTACAGTACACAATGATGAATGAATAACACACAATAAATTGTTTGAAGCAACATGTTATGCCTTGATTGCGGTCAGCAAGCTGCAGAGCTGTCTGATCAACTTGTTTTTCTTTGCAGTTTGTGTCTTTTCTGAAAACGGGCACTAATCAATGTTTTTACAGCATAACAACAACTGAATGGAAGGTGAATGTGTTGCTCACAGGGATGAATGTCGCTGCAGCTCTGCTCGTTTTAGCTCCTGGTTTGGTTTTGCAGCATATTTATCACATATTACTGTGTCATTCAGAAGTCAAACCCTCTGCATTTCATCTGTGAGACACACTTCACACACTTTTGTTTGTGCTGCTCCAAGTGCAATAATGGTTTTCATTGCTGCTGACAAAGGTGTGTGCAGACACAGTACACGCAACCTATCGCCTGATTTCTGTATTTTTAATTCCATTACCTCACTTTTTGCAGTTCTCTCTGATGATTCTGTCTGACATGATGCTATCTGTTTAGAAGCGGATGAGTTTGGCTTCAAGGGGCAAAAGCTTTATAACACGACTGTATAAAATAAAGCTCAGGTGCATGTGGTAGTGACTGATCAGCTGACTGTGCAGCTCCTCTCGGCTTCACGCAGCTTCACAGCGAGTCTCAGCTCAACGTTTAGAGCCGGACCACAACGTCACCGTCCTGGTTCACGACCTGCCGGCAGCAAACGGTCAGAGACCAGCTGGTGAACACAGTGCAGCAGTTAGCAGCTCCACAGCCAGAAGCTCAATCACTGATCTGATGGGTCCGGTCAGGTTCAGCGGACATGAGAGCTAGAGTTGATTAAATAGTTGGGATTCCCGTAGGCCAACATACAACCACCTGCTGCTGCTGTGTTTTTCATCTTGTCACTGTACAGGAAGGCATCTCCCCAGGTCTAACCTCCCTACAAATCTCTGCCTTGATTGTTTTTCCAGCTGGTGGAAACAGTCACCATCGAACACCAAACCTCCACTGTCTCCTCAGTTTACTTCTGTCTCAGTAGCTTCATATTTACTGTATGTTTGGTCTGTTTAATACCTACAGGATGGTTCATTTTGTGCACAGTAGATGAGGAACATACGCTGCTGCTTGTTTAAAGTTTCACATCTGTCCTTGTTCCTCCACTCACACAGACAGTGACCTCTGCTTTTTCCTTGTGCCTGATGAGACCTGATACAGATGTGGGTTTTAAATTTGCCAACAAAAAAAAAACAAGCCCTGAGACAAACTGTAAATTTGGCACCTGTTTCGTTCTGGACGCCATCAAAAGCATCACTTCCATCACTAAACCACCCCATTATCCCAATTACACACAATGCTCTGAAGCCGATCGCCACGGTGACGAAGCCGCCGCCGCTCATCCTCTCCTCTCCGCTCTGCCTCCACTCAGAAAGCTCGTTAGCATTATTATTATTTCAATGCTAATTGCGGCTGCATCCACTCATCGCTGGGCTCGTATCCAGCTGTTAGCACTTGGCACAAGGTGTAATAAAAACAGTATCGATGGCACATGGCTCGCTCAAACATGCCCGGAGTGTAAATCACACGGCAACAGCCAGAGAGGGAAAAAATAAAGAGAGAGAGAACAAACACTGCGAGGCACATTTCCACCGCAAAGCCTGAAATGAAAGGTCAGAGGTGGCCGTGTCAAGTGCTCTGCAAACAATCACTGAGCAAGACAGCCAGGCCCTGCGCAGCCGGCTCATGTCCACACGCACTAGGAATACACGCACTGCCTGAATACTGCACTGAAACCTGTGAGGCTGACCTGGGACCAGCCAGTTATCCCAGTAAAGACCTACTGGTTCCATACCTGCTTCACCTGCCTTCTGGTTTACCATATAACATATGGTATCAACAGTTTGATTCCGGCCAGGGGCCTCTGTTGTGTGTCCTATATGAAATAATATATGCGATATATATACAATAATACAATACATATATACAATAACCCACCGGCAAAAAGATAACTGGCAACTGCTAACTGATTTAATGTTTCAGTCTTTTTTCTCCACACAAAAATAGTGAAATGACGCTAAATACTCCCTGGGTCCAGCCCAGGATCCCTGCTTTATCAAGGAAACCAAACATTCTGACTCTGATTCA